ATATATATATTACACATATCTTCTAATCTCTTTTACACTCTTTTCTATTACATTTCACTATTCTCTTAATTTTTCATCTTAAAAAAAGTCACGGATGATGAAGAAATTAAGAAACTGATACTCAGTTCTGCTTTCTACTGAAGTGGCAAGAAAAAAAGAGGAAAAAAAGAATTGTTCAAGGAAAAAGTGTTAAGGGGATTTTTTTTTTAAAGTTTCAGCTTTTTGTCTTTGAATTTTAAAGTCATATAATCCATTATCAAGACAATCAGTAATTTATGAATTTAATGGTAAAGTAAAACTAAAAGCAGGATATGAAGAAAACAGTAATCTCCATGGGGGATGTCATTAAAAAATAATTAAGATGATTCAAATACAGTAGAACAAACATTGTTTTGAATTTAGCACATTTACAAATTAAACTAGCAATCTTAGATATTTGAGTGTCAGTTGTCAAGCCAGGATTTTAAACAAAGTTCTGGTTGGATCTGCTAGTGTTAAGAGCACGTGTTGGAAATGACTCTCAGCTACTACCGCTCCAAATTTGAGCTCAATATCTGTAAAATGTACTTAGTTATAATCATTTGTGTTTGCTAACGTTGATCAGTTGTGGCAATCACCATGCTTGTGATTGACAGCTAAACTTAACGAGCTGTAGATGTGCATCCAATAATTATTTTCTAAGAGTCATAAAAAATACAATTTTTGGTTCATGAGATATTTTGCTAAGACAAACAAACACACTCACACATTTACAATATCCCCTACCTGTCATAGTGACAAAGATTAACAAATGTTATGTTTCTGTGTATGTGAGTGAAAATCTTTACTCTGTGAATTACAGAAATGCTACAAAGGTGCATCTCTGCAGTGAGGAGTGGAGCCTGGTGATAAATGCACACATCTACAAAGAGCATCTCCCAGCATAACTAATGGGAATGTTTCATGGTGGTGACAGCAAGAGGCATGTGTGTGTCTGTCTGAGCATTATGGCTGTTAYGACAATAATGAGAACAAATGAGAATCATCCATTTCCTGCTCGGCTGCTCATTGGTCCTGATGGCCGGCCCGGCCGTGGTTAATCCATCTTCATGGTTCTCCCTCAAACAACTGAGTGGCATCCTGCTGACAGTGGAAGCTCATAGGTTTAAGATAGAATCTCTGTGATTGCTAGTTGATTTGGTAACTCCAAACTGCCTGAAACAAAGTTTACATTTTTTTTTGACAAGTTGAAATTTGAAGCTTGCTATACAACTCAAACAAATTTAAAAAAGGACCCCCACAAACATTTTGAGACATTTTAGAGACTCCCTCATGGATGTTGTACACAACTAGTTGCTATCAGTCCCATCCCAGAGCGATACAGTATAATATGGTTTTATAAACTACGAAACTATTGTAACTGAAACCTTTAGAATTATTACTGAAGACAGAAAAATGGAGCAAATTGATCATAAGAACTTTTGATACAACTACTAAGTTGTTACTGCAGCATGTTTACAAGGAGTGCTTCTTCTTAGAGAACTGGTTCATTTGTTACTTCTCACTTTTCAAACCTGTGAGCACCAACAACGTTCCTGCCAACAAGAGCAGCTACATTTTCAGCAACATTTTGAGTTTTTTTTTTCTTGCACAAGTCCCCTCTGCAGAACTGCCACCACATGGTGGTRGGGTTTGAGTATCAATCCTTGGTAGGGTCTCTCATGAACACTTGACCTCTACAAAAGGGTCAGACTAAGCAATTCCAACACCTAGATAGATAAACAGCATGATTCAGAATACCTTTTTTATTTTTTATTTTTTCATTTCAGAATTCAGAATACCTTGACTGGAAAAAGAAAACAGGGTGCTCCCCTGGAGCCAGGTCGGTGGGTGGGGAGCTCACCATGGAGCGCCTGATGGTTAAGCTTTGGCTCCGGGGTCTCAGCCGGGCCAAACCAAAAAGCGAGACAGGATGGCACCGCCATGTGGACACACCAACTGGGAGGAGGACCTTTGAGGTCAATGTCAATGTCAAATGCATAGGCGTAATTTGCAGGGGGGTTAGGGGGGTTATGACCCCCACAATAATTTGATCCAGTCAAAATACCCCCTTTCCCCAATAAAATTACATTGTTTGCTCAAACGCAACAGAAATTAACTGTTTAAGTAGACAGATGCAACTCTCTTGTTGTCTTTATGTAACTTTGACCTGATTAAAAAATATAATGTCATATATCTACGTTTTAAGCATAATTGCTAAAAATGACATGCAGGGTTTTAGAGCATAAACCCCCCAATGGTARACCTAAAGTTACACCCTTGGTCAAATGTATTTATATACATATATTAGCACATTAAAACAACAAAAGCTGACCTAAGTGTTTTACAGTTTAGGTACATTGTGAACTGGGGGGCAGGCAGTGGAGGGTTCATGGGGCAGCAAATGGCTTTAGGAACACGGGATGTAGCCTCGCTGACTGATAAATGTGAGCTTGAGCAATACAACCTGGATAAATTTGAATCACCTCCACAGCATAGGCTCTGGACCCAACTCTTTCCTACTGTGGATTTAGCCAGGGACAGAGGTGTTGAGCAGGTGTGAGGGATTTTCACGAGAACTTGGCTGAGTGCATGAAGGAGAGGGTCGAACAAGATCTATCCTGAACACAAACGACTGAAATGAGCTTTGTTTTATTGTTTGGCCAGGCTCAGGCTTAGAGATAGAGTGAGGAGATCAGAGTAGAGCTGCTGCTTAGTCACATCTAAAGAACCTGGAAGAAGMTGGTTAGGGCTTCCAAGGAGGAGGCCTCACTAGACTCACTAGAGTTATTGTTTCTGCTCTGGGAACACCTTGGGAAACATGAGGACCATGTGTTGCTACTAAAAGGGATCTTTGGATTTCTTTCCTGAGCTTGTTGTCTTGGATGGACGGAYGGATGGACGGATAGACAAACAGACAAACGGATGGATGGATGGAGTCTTATTTAGCGGTGTGATAGATGTGCGTATTATAACTCCAGCTTCAACGGTCTTTACTCAGCCTCACTTTAAAGCTCTTCCATTTTATTGCTGCATTTCCATCATGACAAAAGCTAAATTCTTACTGAAGTATAACCAGCACTTACAGGTTGCAAAAAATCCATAAGTACAAGAGCTTGTACTGACTGGGAAACAGGTTTTTAAATCATTTAAGTGTTTTTGATTTAGTTTGTTGTTTTGGATTTGATGAAGTACTTTGTTAAAACGTCTTTGTTTAATCTTCTAGGAGCACTGTTCTGTTATATGCAGATACACCATGAAAAGATTTATGATAATTATGAAACTGAGCATTTTAGATAATAGACTGAAAAAAGGAAAAGTGCAGACAGCAGACATTAAAACAGAATTGGTAGAGTTTACAGAAAAAGATGCAAGCAAAGTAACAATAACATGACATGTTTAYACTGAAGTAACTTGTGTTTTTTCTTCCAAAGACAGGGATGGAAAGGATTTCAGTTTTAATTATCTATTTATTATTATTATTATCATTATCATTATCATCATCATCATTATTATTATTATTATTATTATTATTATTACATTTTTCAGTTCTACCTCTCTAATCTTGAGAAGTTGTGACCTGCTGCGCCCTCAGGTGGTGGAGGGAAAACAGCATCAAAGATCCATTGCTGTGTCAAAACTACAGAGTAAAAACAGAAATGTATCCAACGTAGGCAGGTGAATGTAACTTAATAGTGATTAAAAGGAGTGAGAACAAATTAAAAGAGATTTTTTGAGAAAATGACTGTGTAGGATTTAACGAAGTTATAGTTTATGGAATAAATAAGGTTAACATGTTAAAATGTTGAATCAAGGAAGTATATACCCTGATAAACTCCAGACAATTTTACAAATGTTGGGTTTTGTTTTAGGATATTTAATGTCAAGTCTTTTTACACAAATGCTGATCTGACTTGAGAGGATCAAGGAGGAAGTAGACATTGGTTCAACTCTCCTTGTCATATTTATTCATTTAATTCAAAGATGATGTGTACAACACAGAATCATCATCTGCATCAACAGGTTGAAAACCTTGAAAACAACCAAAGCAAAGAAAATAATTTTTTAAACTCAATCTCAATGAAAATATTTTAATTCATAAGAGTTTTTACTCTGAAATATTGGTATAGTTCATGACAATTGGTAAATCATCAGTTTGATTTAATTCAATTTACTTTGGTAAATTAAACAGTTATTTACTAAAAAAAACACAACCAGCATTTCAATCAAGGAAAGCTAAAACTTGGACTTTCTGCTGGTGAAATCAGCAATATTAACTCAAAAAGAAAAAAAAGTAGGTCCTTTGGATGGGTTCTTCTTTATTGAAACATTTTGTCTCTCCTCCAAGAGACTTCATCAGTCTGATGAGTTTCATACAGGAAGCACTGTTACAGTAAATGTGATGCTTTATGAGCTGGAAGATGTAAACATTTTTCTGTTTGCTCTCTGGTTTTGACTCGTGCCAGTTTACTTATCAGCCAAGCCACTCCACAGAYGACACCCTTTCCTCTTCACTTTGAGTCTTCAACATCTGGAGGAGAGAAACACCTTTGTGCAGCTGCTTTTTGTTGATTTTAGTATAACTTTCAACTCAGCATCTCCCAGCATCTGAAAAGCAAATTGTCATCCTTCATTTTCAGCACCACATTGTGCAACTGGATTCTAGATTTGTTTTTAACTTCTCAGTTTGTACATGTGGAGAGGAACGGTTTTTTTTAGCTGTCACCTTGAGCACCTGCTCTCCTCAGCTCTTGTTCACTTTTATTACCCATGACTGTGTTGTTGTTTTATTTGTTGCTGCTCCTTTGAGCAGTAGTTGCCAGATTTTGCAATTCTTTAACACTGGAAATCTTTCTTGACAAAAATTGGGTTWAAGATTACAAGAACCATAGAGTTACAGAGAAATAGTGGAGCAACTGGTAAACTGGCAGAAACAAAACAACATTCTTCTGACTTTCAACATCAATAACGACTGCAGGAAGAACCAGCAGGAGGGGATAGAGTGCAAGAAGTTTCATGAACTGCACATAATGGATACTGATATATAATGGTTCTTTGTATTCAGATTTCCAACATATAAAAACGTTACTGTGTATTAATAACATCTAAAAATATATACTGTAATATTTTCATGAGTCATAATAACAAGTGTATTTTTTTTACTTTCTTAAATGCTTATATAATTATGTTGCTCATTGTTAAATACATTTTGAGTCAATGTAAGCAAACAGCACATGTTCAGTATTAGTTCAAATATCTGCTATGACATAAAGAAAACTTTAAGTCATCACAATTATATGAATTGTGTGTGTGTGTGTGTGTGTGTGTGTGTGTGTGTGTGTGTGT